GGCTCTTGTCCACAGGGTACTATTTTGCCCGAAGCAGAAGCACCAACAGCGGAGTAGTATTCCTTTTGTATGGTCGGAACGTATACGCCGTGAAGTGCTGGTGAGTATGGCTGATGTGGGTGATGGTAGTGAAAAGGGTATAGAGACAGTGGGACGGGAGTAGATAGATAGATGATGGTGTGTGTGTGTGTGTGTGTGTGTGTGTGTGTGTGTGTGTGTGTTAAGAATACTCGCACGCGGGGTTGTGCGTTGCTACCGGGTGCTCGTGGCGGCGGCGATCGTCCTCTGGGTGGCCTCCGGCGGCGTCCAATTAGAGGTGCGACAACACGCACTCCGTGTAAAACCGTATATTATTATAATATCGTCGTCGTCGTCGTCATCGTCGTCTCGGGTCCCCGGGAGTGTAAAGAAGAAGTTTTTGCTGCTCCTACGCGCGACGACCGAGTAACATAAAATAAAAACCGACTATCGCGCGAGGATGTGTGCGTTCATGTGTGATTGTGTGTGTGTGCGCGCGCGCTTGCATATAAATCGTCTTGGGGACGACGACACGGTTTCTATCTTAAAGCCACTGAGTATGTATGTATATACAGTGAGAGGGAGAGAAGATGAAGAGATGAAAAAGAAATAAAAAACCGTACAATCTTCGCTTCCAGTCTCTCGTCGATAATATATTATTATTATACGACACACCATCCCTCCGGTACACCATATTATATATATATAATATACATCATGGTGGCACCATATCCAATAAAATAAGAATAATATATTGCATTGCAGTGCGTGTGCGCTGCGACTGTATACATATATTGTATAATACAGTATTTCGTTTTCGGTTATTTACTATATATATAATATACATATTTATCACCTCCGTCGATGCCACACACAAGCACGCACTATATTATATAAACAGTAAGATATCTATGATAATATTATAGTATTATGTAGGTGCACAAAAGTCACTTTTCGTTTACCAACGAACCATAACATACATATCTTAAGTCAGTGTGGCGTTTATTTTGTTCAGCAAGCACAATTGATAATATTATAATATTAATAACTTAGTTATCGTATATTCGGTTTTCGATTTTTAAATTTAAAAAATATTTAAATGTTTTTATCGTATTTAAAGAGTGTGGTGATGCAAAAATATACATTTTCAAATGTAAACTTTTAACTTTTAGGTGGATGATTATTTTTTTGTACATTTTTAATCTGATATAAAACTTAACGAGCTGAAAATAATCGTTTCATAATAATTTGTAAAAAATGTTTGAGCAATTTTATAGTGGTTATCCTAGTAAAACTAAATATTATATACATATATTTTTTCGTATAATGCCTGTATGACGTTTTCAAAAAAATCATAGATTTAACGATTTAATGTGAAAAAGGATGCCTGTTTTAAAAGAACAGATTTCTTATCAGGACATTTATAATTCAACATATATTATTCCATAAAAATGTATAGTTCTTTGAAAACTGTAATTTAAAAATTCAAAAAATCACAATTTGAATAAGCGGTATACAGGGTGATTCTTTTATCAAACAACACTCATTATTTCAAAAACTATTGATTTTTTTCAAATTTTTTTTTTTCAAAATTTTGGAACCATCTTGTTCTGGAACTATA